ACGAAACATCCTGCCAAGATACTCTGCATATGCCAAATGAAGAAAATCTAAGGTGGCGATTTGTCAGGCTACAGAAGAATTAAGTGCAGGATTCAAATCGTGTTAGAAGACGAAAAAACAACTAAATTTGGGCAAAAAATTGGAGCACTGAGGAAGTGGGGAACTGATTTAGATAGCAAGATTTAGACGTTATAAAGGCATATTTTAATAAAATTTAGGAAATTCAGAGAAATAGTATCGAATCGTATTTAAACGCCTAGACAGGAATTAAACTGAATGTGTAATCAAACAGCTAAACAGAAATGCAAGTGATGGCAAGCAGTTGCCAGCGTCGATGGTATGCATGGATAGGCAAGTGAGAGCAGACAGTTCAAAAAAGTGAATATTCTGCGGGCAGGGTGGAATATTCCGCCGAGTTTACTTGGTCTTCTTAAATATGTGTTCAACGGCAGTGTCCCCTTTCTGGTCGTTCTCAGTGTCCAGTTGTTTATATTCATCTTCTGGCTGTTCGTCATAGTCCAAATATGGAAACAAATGGTCGTCAAATCCCTTTTCTTCGTCATGAAACACATTTGACGTGCAGCAGCCCATCTCTCGTACACGTTATTCAACTTTAACCGATTTTTAGCCTGTCAGCAGCTTCACGAAATTGCTCGCTGCTACACACAGATACTAAAGAAATGTACGATAGAAATTTATACTGGGAAAAGAGCCAGACTGCATCTTCTTCAAGCATAATTCAAGTCAGAAATTCTAACTTAACTTTCATTATAATTTTGGAGGAAGTTAGAACTTGATCGGGGCACATTCAGAGAAATATCGCTAATTTTAATCAAACTTGAAAAACCCAAAAAACGACATTGAAAAGCGCTATGAAAATCAGCTTCAGGACACTTCGTTTTTATTTCATGCTTACACTGAGCCTGAACAAGCATCTCAACTCTCACGGGTAGCGCTTCTTTTGCTCGAAAATGAAAAAAGCCCGAAAAACCGAGCAGCAACCTGACAATGGTGTCTCTGTATTAAAAGTGAGTATGCACTAGCAACATCCCAACTTAAATACTTCCCACCACGTACCCTCCTGCCGTATTCAGCTAAATTATGCAAAATTCCCAACATGTATTTGTGTCAACAGACAACGACGCACATCAGAGAACCAGCCTGTTCCAGGAATCAGCTACTTCAACTGCACAAATTAGCTACTTCGAAATGCAAATAGATATTGATTCTTCTATGCTCTTTTCAACATCAACACGGCACAAGCGAAGCTCCAAAATTCTGGATCTCTATCTTGCTTCTTCTTTCGCTTGTAAAAATCAACCTCGTTTGGGAAGTGAAGCCCCAGTAACAGGGCAAAATGATAGTTAAAAGCTAATTTCCAGTCACTCCACACTATGCAGTGGATTATGTAGCAAGGCCATCCGAGCAACTAATGCTGGTTCTTAACGCTGATCAGGATCTTGCTTACCTCCAGTTAGCATCGCCGATTACCTAAGCATTCCCAAAATAGGATACGTGAGTGGACGCGTCACGACCGCAGCGCATCCGTGCCACCGAAGGCACTCGCATAACTCCAAGATGCGACTCGTATAAAATACTTATTTGGTATCTGAATAAATCCCAAATTTTATACGCTGCAAAAAGCTAGAATTTG